CAGCTGACTCAGATGGACATCCACCCTTATCATTACCTAGTTTGGAGACCTAAATTGAGCCCACTGAGAGGTCTATGTAAAGTAACATGTAGATGTCGAAGAGAAGTTATATCCTGTGTGGAGAATATCTTCACTTCTTTTTCTTTTTTTTTGGAGAGGTTTTCGCTATAGGGCGTGTGTGTTTGCCAGACAGACAGAGACATAGAGACAGAAAGCGAGAAATCACCCCCCAGAGGGGATGGTCACGCTGCAATCCCTTCTCCTCCATTCTCCTCTCAGGATCTTGGGCACGCATGCACACGTGCCCGGCGTGAGTTTTAAGCCACCGGGTCCGGGACGCAAGCAGCAGTCGACTACGTGGGAGTCCAGCGACATAGCTATTACGCTAACTGCTGGTTCCCTTTTTTTCTGAAGAGGTTTTTGTTATAGGACGCGTGCGCTCGCCGACAGACAGAGAGGGACAGAGAGACAGAAATCACCCCCCCAGGGAGGATGGCCATGCCACAATCCCTTCTCCTCCAGTCTCCTCTCGGGATCTTGGGCATGCACGCACACACACCCAGCGTGAGTTTAAGCCACTGGGTCCGGGACTCGAACCACGGTCGACTATGTGGGAGTCCAGCGACATAGCCATTACACTAACTGCTGGTCCCTCTTCACTTCTTTTGTAATTTCTTATATATATTTCTCCTCCATTTTCCTCTCGTGATCTTGGGCACACACGCACACGCGCCTGGCGTGAGATTTAAGCCACTGGGTCCAAGACGCGAACCGCAGTCTACTACGTGGGAGTCCAGCGACATAGCCATTACACTAACTGCTGGTTCCCTCCATAGATTATTTTTAACATCCATCATGCCATGAATCATAGGGAATAAATTCGAGAAGCTCAGGTTCCTTTCCATTGATTCTCACAAAGTGCTTCTCTTGAGTGGAGCAGGCTGGAGCTTCCATTCTTTTGTCATTTCAATGGGGCTATCCTGGGTCAGGAAAGGCCTTGAAAATCAAGATATCTGTTGCTTGGATGAGGGCCTGGTTTCTAGCTAAGGAGATTGGTTCTAACAAAAGTGTTCTCTCCTTTCTCCTGACCCACTAAATTATAAGTTCTATTTGAACCAAGGTCCATGTCCTCTGCGACTAATGCAATACCTGACATATAATAACTACCTAATAATTAATTGAATTAACTAATTTACAAATTATCTGACCCAAAAATTGTTATTAAAATATTTTTTGGGGGACCAGCAGTCGGCATACTATGTTGCTGTACTCCCAAGTAGTCGACTGTGGTTCGAGTCCCAGACCCGGTGGCTTAAACTCACATTGGGCACGTGTGCATGTGTGCCCAAGATCCTGAGAGAATGGAGGAGAAGGGATTGCAGTGTGGTCATCCCCCTGGGGGTTAACTTCTTGCTTTCTGTCTCTCTCTGTCTTCCTACGAGCACATGCACCCTATAGCAAAAACCTCTCTAAAAAAAAGATTTTTCTTGGAGGGGGGGGGCAGCAGGTAGCGTGGTAGTTAAAGCACGGGACTCCCACATGGCTGATCATAGTTCGAGTCCCAGACCTAGTGACTTTCTTTTTCATTTTCCTTCTGTCTCCCTCTGGTCAAGTTAATATAATAATAATAAATGTAATTAAATACTTTTTAAAAAAAGATTTTTGGGTGGGAGGCCAGCAGATGGCATAGCGGTTACATTGCTAGACTCCTATATGGCCAACCATGGTTCAAATCTCATACCCAGTGGATTGAAACTCATGCCAGGCACATGTGTGTGCATGCCCAAGATCTCTGGAGGAAAATAGATAAGGGATTGCACCATGGCCAACTTCCCTGAGGGGTGATTGCTCACTTTTCCGCTCACTGCTTCTGTTTTTCTCTCTCTCTCTCTCTCTCTCTGGCAAATGCACATGCTCTAAGGTAAAATCCTCTAAAAAAAATTGGGGGGCACCAGCAGTGTGGTGATTGGGGAATTGGATCCCACATGGCTGACTGCATGGTTCAAGAGCTAGACCTGGCAGCTTGAGAAACACACTTGGCACGTATGTGTGAATGTCCAAAGTCCTGAGAGGAAAAGGTAGAGGAGAAGAGATTGTGGCATGACCATCCTCCATGAGGAGTGCTTTCTCACATTCTCTGTCTGTCTCTCTCCGTGATGTTGCCAAAATTTAAAAAAAAAAAAAAAAGGTACTGACCACCAGGTTGCTCTTATTTCCCCAAGTTCCAATGAATTCTGGAAGCTAAGCTAGGCACTCTAAGGATTTTTATATGTGACACATACTTGCCTAGAATCACACTATTAATTTTGGTCAGAGCCAGGGTTAGAACCTAGTTCACCACATCAGAAGTACCAAAACTATTTTGCTATAGGGCATGTGCACTTGCCAGAGAGATGGAGACAGAGAGACAGAAAGCAAGAAATCCCCCCCTCCCCCCCAGGGAGGATGGCCATGCCACAATCTCTTCTCCTTTATTCTCCTCTTGAGCTTTTGGGCTTATATGTGTATGTATCCAGCATGAGTTTAAGGCGCCAGGTCTGGGACTTCAACCATGGTCAACCACATGGGAATCCAGTGACGTAACCATTATGCCATTTGATGGTCCCAAAAGTCCGTTTTTTGTTTTGAATTTAGTGCAGTTTAATTGAGTAAATCTTAACACCTGAAAGTTCATGTTTTAACAAGCCCTCCAGATGTGCATTAATGGCTTCTCATGCTAACACAAAACTCAGGGATTGTTTGCAAACTTGACTCAAGATGAATTACTGTGGGGGGTTGAATAGTGGAGTGGGCAATTCCCAGGTCTTTTGTTTTTCTCTGGCAGAGTCCCCACCCATCATTCCTTTCTTTTTTTATTTTTAAGATTTATTTTGAATTTTATTTATTATTAATATTCTTCAATTTTGACCAGAGAGAGACAGACAGAGAGAAAGGGAGAGTGAGAAACCAAACCTCCAGGTCCGGGACTCGAACTGTGGACAGCCACGTGGGAGTCCAGCGTCTCTACCACCACACCACCTGCTGGCCCCACCCATCATTCCTTTCTCCTTCTGTATACCTTAAGGTCCCACAGGCCACTGGTTCTCATACCAGACTGCACATTAGGATTACCTGCGAGAGCTTAAAGTTCCAAACCATCACCCAAAAGCTATCTGTGTCCCAATCATTCTGATTTGGTTGGTGTAGGGTTGTGCCAGGGGTTGGGATTCAATGCTCTGTAGGTGGTTCTGCAGAAGCACAACCACCACTGGGAACTGTGGAAGTGGAGAATTAAGCATGTGGATGTATGCAGGGCGGGGAGCAGCTTTCCTAACAAGAGACTCTCATGTGAACATAAGGAAAACTTGTTATGAAGCTGTGTAACTAGTCTCCACAGCCCCATCCCTCATTTCTGGAAAGGTGTAAATTACATACCAGCTTAGCTCAGTGGTGTTCAAAGGGTGATCCACACTCTCCTGGGACTTTTGGAAATCCAGAAGGGACTTTCAGAAATCCAGGTCAAAACTTTGAGTGCATGTGCCAGTTCCATGGCATAGCAGTGACTCACTGCTGGGGAGAGGCTTGATTCCACATGGTAACCACAGTTTGAAACCTTGGCTTGGTCCACCCGAGGCATACTGAGCGAATATGCCAATACCCAGGATAAGACAGGTTGGAAGACTAGATGAAGACCATGGTGTGGCAGAAGAGTGCAAGGGTGTTCTCTCTTTCATGTGTGTACACACATATGCTATCATGAACAAAGAAAAAAAATCTATGTTCATAAAAATATTGTCAATCCCACTCTCCCCCTAGTGTTTTCTAGAAGACAAATGACATGATGGTGTTCCAATTTTGGGGCTGGCAGGTGGCATGGTGGTTAAGATGCTGGACTCCAACATGGCCGACTGTGATTTGAGTCCTGGACCTGGCCGCTTGCTTTCTTACTCACCCTTCCCCCCAACTCCCACTCCCCACCCCATCAAATTGAAAAATACAATTTAAAAATTCTTTTAAAAAAAAAAAAGTTCTAATTTTGGGACCAGTAGATGGCATGTTATGTCGCTGGACTCCCACCATGGTTTTGAGTCCCAGACCCAGTGGCTTGAAACTCATGCCAGGCACTTGTACATATGCACCCAGTCTCAAAAGGAGAATGGAGGAGGGACTACAGCGTGCCATTCCCCTGCAGGGTGATGTCTCACTTTTTATCTGATGAATGCACACACCCTACAGCAAACATCTCTCTTAAAAAAAAAAAAAAAAAGTTTCAATTTCTGGGCCAGCCAGTGGTTAAGCGGTGGGCCCCACATGGTGAAACTGTGCAGTTCAAGTACCAGACCCATTTCAAAAACACACTGGGTGCATGTACATGTGTGCCTAAAGTCCCAAAAGAAGAAATGGAGGTGGGGGGATTGTGGCATGACCACCCCCCATGTGAGGGGGTACTTTCTCACCCTGTCCTCTTAGGTGAGTGAGTGTGCCCTCTGGCAAAGAAAGTATTTTAAGTTCCAATTTCTAGTATGATAGCTATCTACAGATGCAGCATACAGAAATAAAGCTTGATGGGGTCTTTAGAACATTTTAAGTGTAAAGGGGTTCCTTAGACCAGTCTGGGAACTTCTGGTCAGGGTCTATGGACACAACTTTTTCTTTAATATTGGTCAAGAGAAAACTGATCTAACATGCTCCCTAAGTAGTCAGGTATCATGTTGACAACTGAAGGACGTCTGAGACAGCAGTTTCATGAGTTATTGTAAATGATGGATAAAATTAGGGGAAGTGAGTAATCTATCTGGATTTATGGACCAAAGCATAAAACTTACTCCACTGACTGCTTAATATGAAAGGGTTATGAGAACCCATAAGTCCTAGGACTGGTTATAAATGAGATGAAATGTGCAATGATTTTCAAGTCCCTGCCAGTGGGAACACCCCAAATTCCATACCCATTTGTGAGCCCAGCAGACGATCTTTCCTTCTACCACAGAATACCTTAAATTACAGACACTGGCACAAGATTGTCATTCACTTTTCTGCATACTTTATTTGTTACAAACATACAATTTTTTAAATATAGACTGTAAAACTCCATTTGCAAAAGTCTGCTATTGTAAGGAGTGCACACCAGCAGGAGATTCTTAAACATTTTTCTCTATGAGTTTTTCTGTCAGTTTTGCTAGTTAGTGGTAAATACGGGACCCGCCATTTTACAGACCTGTCTGAAGCTTCTGGCTGTATTCACATTGCTCTTTTGAAGCAGCCCTGCTCGTCTCAAAATTGATCAGAATCTGAGCTTCAACCTACAGGCAGTGAGATCAACAACCCGTCTGGATTCTGCTTTGAACGGTTTTCAGGAAGTGTGATTTCTGAATGGATACTGCACTTCGGATTTGTTTGAATTGCCCATGCAGCTCTATGTTTGTTAAAGTGCATTCTTCTTTTAAAAAATAAGCAAGAGGAATAATCTTTACTCTTTAACCAAGGTACTTAAAAAAATGAACTTTTTGGTCTCTCAGCAGATATTCCCAAATTGATCCTATCACTATGAATTTTAGTGTTCTATTTACAAACATTTATAGGGTTACAGGTGGAGGGGATCTTATAAAATTAAAGGTGCAGCTTCTCTTGAAGCAGAAATCAGTACTACAAATTCATACATAGGAATACACACTTGGTTTACAATGCATAAGCATGTGGGTATTTACAGAGATCAAAGACATCCCCAAAAAAACCCTTTAAATTTCCAACCTAATCTCTAATTGTACATCTACATCAGGAATTATACATCTACATCAGGAAGTTGTTTCCTGTAACAAGATTTGGTTTTAATTCATTCAAATTACTTCTATAGATTCTCTACTGGCAGGACATCAGTCCCAGCTTTGGAGTGAAGAATCTAGTCTAAGGAAGCCACTGGTAGATATGATTGGCAGTGAAGATTCCTAGAGGATGGAAAGTGTGTTATATGGAAACATATTGGAAGACGAACAGATTTTCAAAAAATGATCCTGGAAAAATATCTGCACGAAGGTCCAAAAGGAATTCTCACTAATAGAACTGTTCTCTAACTTCAGAAAAGTCCAAATGTGTTGATGATCTTAGTTACTACTCAAATCTTGATGTCACTGAAAAATAACTCAAATATACTTGCTTGCTACAACATCATGCAAAACCACGGACTCTTTACAAGTATGTCCCGTACTGATTTAAAGTCAAGTTTCTAGACTTTTTGCCCTATCTATTGATTTATAGGAATCCAGAGAGCTTTTGTATACAGGGGTGACATATGAGCTGGGAGAAAAGGGTTTATGTCTCATATTACATCAGTTTAAAATGAACTTTCTACAACACAAATGTGTTTGTTGATATGATCTATAATGCTGTTCTTCAAATTTACTGGGGTTCACCCTGTAATTTGAAAAGGGAATTTAAAAAGGAAAGAAATAGGGCCAGCCAGTGGCCTGGTGGTTAAGGCGGCTGGATCCTACATGACAGTTTATGTGATTCAAGTCTTAGATTTGGCAGCTTTAGAAACACTCCCAGTGCATGTGTGTGCGCCCCCAAAATCCTGAAAGAAATGGAGGAGGAGGGGTTACAACACAGCCATCTCCCAAGGGATGGTGCTTTCTCACTTTCTGGTGAACATATGTGCCCTCTAGCCATAAGAGGGGAGGGAGTAATGTATCACTTGCCATTTTATCTCCAAATATATATATTTTCCTAACCAGCTTGATCTTGCTGGGGTAAGATTGGGGATGAAATACTTTGCTTTTCAGAAATGGTATAGTCCAAATCAATTTTCTTGAGTTAGCTGTTCGTGTTATTGAAACTAAGGGGAAAAAAAAGACAAACTCATGCCTTCTGCAACATCCTAGTGGACAATAAATAAGTCTATTGCTTTATTCCCAATACTATGGGCCCACATTTCATGGTACTAAAAAGATAAAATCAGCCCCGTCTTGTACATGTCCATGGCATTACATGTAACACAGGGGAAAAAATACTCTCCTAGACTTAAAATCTCATGTTAATTAAAAGTATAGTTATACTCCTTTATCAAACTGTTGGAATCAACTATGGGAAAAAATGATATAGTTTTAACTTATGAAATAAAACTTTCCTGTTATTAGAAGTCCTACTGGGTAGTGAAACTACCACTGTTGTTTCAACAAGTTCTACCTTCCTCCAACTGGAATGTCTAATTCAAGAGGCATGAGTTAGATTTTCAAATGAAAGTGTCTGAACAGAAGTGATTATATTGATAGCATATTCCCTATTTCATTAGGAAATACAAAATACATTCAAAAAGGCCTTACTTGGTCAGGGTACAGGTTATAAGTTAGGAATCACTAGGGTAATGTTTTCATGAGGCAGTATTTTTTTCATTTTCCAAATTTAATTTTCAGTACTAACAACTAGATCACATTTGTTCAAGTAAGGGTCTGTTAACTCCATCAGTAGTAAAACTAGTTTTTAAGACTGAGGGCTAGGAAAAGTGACTTTAAATAGTAAAGTTAGATATACAATAGAACTCACCATTTAAGAGTCCAGCTATCTCTTGAAACTTCTAGGGACCAACGTTTGAAATTAATGACTTGTTTTTCTAAGTTAAAAACAGGAAATTAAGTTATAATTTGCCACTTCCACCTTCCATCTAGAATTTCAAAAGGGACATGTGATGTGCCCTGTTTGAAATTTGTTTCTTTTAGTTTATATTTTCTTAAGGTAAATGTGGTTCTTTTTTTCTTTTTTCTTTTCTACAAACTATCTCCCCCCTCCCCAGACCCACCCACATACCCATTATCCAGTATACTGAATGGGAATTTAACTCTTTAGGAAGACAGCTAATTAATTTACAGTACTCTAAAACCAACCCTGAAAACTGATAATCTCATTCATTTACTATAACTTCAGTGCCGTTGTTTTCAGAAAAGAAAAGTTACCTTAAGGCTCAAGGGAAAGTAATTTATTAAAATTGTGAATGCAGCATTGTTTACTCTCCCATCCATTGGAAACTAGCAAAATGCATTCTGGATCAGTAATACAAACTTCCTAACATTAGCAAAGATTTCTACTCTTCTTACACAGAATTAGAACAATATTCATAAGCAGATTATCTAGGGGAGCCTGAGAAACGATGATCCACATCACACAAAGATTCCGTGTATTTCATGATCAAAAAGTGCTTTATCTTTGAGAAATATGTCAGGGTTAAAATGGGAATATACAATGTAAAATCACTTGACTATTTTTCAAGTGAAGTACAAAGTGGAAAAGGAGCAAAAAGATGAAGGCTCTGCTCTCAGAACAGGCCTTATGCATGTGACTTTTAGGGTAGTAATTAAAATTATTTTAAGAATTAATAATAGTGGGATTTTATACCACTATATTCTAAAACCTGAGATTGGACATCAAAGCAGTCAACTTTGTTATTCATCAGAGCAATTCTGACACTTCCTAACAATAGAAGACAACTCAATTGAATTAACTCTAGGGTCAAAACATTAACTTTTCCCAATCAAAAAGAGACCCATCACAAACATTAAGCCAAGAGTGCTGCAGAACAACTCTCAGCAAAGGAGTCACTTTTACATAAGCAAAGTCACTTCTCTCTTTCCCCTTCTCACTGATCAAGGCCACACTATTTTCAAATGAATATCTACTGAGAGATCAGTTGTGCATTGGACAAAGTACCATAATTGGGTTAGAAATGAAAACAAAATTTACAGTGAAGAATACTTATGTGCATGGCTTACACACTCCAGCTTCTTCTTAATTTCATCTACCTCAAGAGCAAGGTAGATGCAAACAGTCACTTTGTGTAGATTACATTCTACACCCCTATAAATCCAGTCAAGGTCATATTTGACAAAGCATTCTCAGAAACTATAGTGCCAGAAGTGTGTAGCCGTTTACAGACCACTCAATATGAGGGCATTATTATAACCAGCCTCTTTTGCCCACAACCCTGCATTTTCAGATAAGACAGGATAATTGTTTTGTTTTGAAAAAACTGAAGCTTGAATCTCTTAAAAGACCTGCAATTTACTGCAAAGTGATCCAGAGGTAACAAAGGAAGCAGGAGGTTAATGGCTGCCTGCACCAAAACCCTCTCAATCATTTTGCAGTAAATAATTATGGAAAGTGACACGACAAGTAGCTGTGTATGTGTATCACAGTTACAGTCATTTATACCACCTACATGCCTCCGACAGTTACATAGGGTGTTTGGGTTTTTGGTTTGGTTTTCACTTTGATTTTTTGGCGCCACACAGATTTCTACGTTGTTTTGTGAAGCATATGCACTGAAAAATTTGCTGACTAGAAACTGCCAAACTTGCTGAAATGACAGGTAGGGACAATAGAAACCAGAAAGTAGTGGCAGGTTCTCTAGAGATGTTTGCTGTTTTGAATGTTTGTAAAATTTACTTTCTCAACTCTATAACTACATTAGTTTGAGAAGCAGATCTTCTGCCAATTATATGAAAAGCAATTTTAGTTCCCTAATTCTCAGAAATATGACTATTTTGATTAACTGGGATGTTTGCCAAACTTAAACAAGTTTTAAATAGTTCATAGTAGTTTTGAAAAACAAAACTAAAAAATCGGTTGTTTCCCAGTCTCTACAATGCCAGTATATGATCGAAATTAACAAAGACCATTTTTTAAAAATTAGTTAACATTTATGAACAAATCTCTGCACTTTGTAGATTTCTATTGTCCCTAGTGACGAGAAATAAGGATCAGTGAAATGCTACAATTAATCCACATCCTTCTGCAATCTTTCTGCAATGGGGAAGAGAGGCCATGAACACCCCCTGCAGGAGAAACAAACCTTAGAGATTGGTTAAGACTTAAAAACCCACCACTATGACATTTACCACTTAATCTTACATAGGCAGGTCAAAATTTTAATATAAATTACTTTTGCCAACACATAGCTTATGCATTCTTTGCTCCTTTTTTTGGAGGATTCTCAAATTGATATCTAAAGATTTACATATGATATATTACTGTTATATGGTCTAATGACTAAGAAAAATTTCTCTGGTAACCAAAGCTGATGCCATATATGGTAGTGTTCTTGGCATATACTCTATATGCCTCAGACCACTTCCACATTCTTTCTATTCAGCTAATTATAGCTTAGTAGCCACTGGTGGAGGATTGTGAAGACCCTGTCGTTTCTACAGAATAGAAAGGCAAGGCTAGTTACTGCAATTCAGCCAAACAAAAGAAAAGGAAAAAGAATAAACCAACCCCTTGAAAAGGAGAGGTACTGCACCTTTGCAAAATTGAACTGGCTCACTGCAGCTGAGCAACAGAACTACCACTGAAGCAAGAAAACAAGTTGGTCTATACAGGAATTGTACATGGTTTGAAAATGAAAAAGTTACAGCAATCAGCTAATAGCTGCAACCTTAATTTTCATTGCTGCCTCAGAGTATGAAACTTAAACAGTTTCTGCAAACCTAATGCTAGCTTCTCAGTTCCTTTACTAAACTATTTAGGAATTTGTTCTCCGCAGCAAAGAAATAAACACTCAAAACACATAGGTAAATACAGCAGGACAACATTGAAAACAGCTGCCTTGTAGTACAAAATACAGTACAAGTATACGGATGTCATTAAAACATCAAAAATACTATTGCTCCCATACAATTTAGGAAACATTCTTTGCAACGGAGAAAAATTTAAAAGAAAAGCTTTAAAAAAATCTGTTTAAAAAGTCTACTGTGGATGATGAGTAGAGAAATAGTCTGAAAAGGGCACCAATGCTTGTGGCTCTTACATCTTTTTTTTTTTTTAAATCTATGATCAACAATATTCTGAATTATAGTCTATTTTTTTAAAAAAAGCCTTGTTTTATGTACACAATTATTTCCCTCCCTCTCAGCCACAAATACATGAAAACGACCTTTTTGTATATTACTTATTTCCCAATAAATACAAAAAGATTGTATAGATTGAATAATACCAAAATAAGATAATAAAAAGGATATGCAATAAATTAAAAAGGCAGCTCAAATAAAGGGCAGGCATGCAGTTAAAAAAAAATACTAAGATTTTGGAGGTGGGGTTACTTGCCTCCTAGTTGAGAAGGTGTCACACAAATACCTGAAAGCTTTGGAAAGAACATTAGCTCCCATTCAATTCAAAGTTACCTAGGTCTATGACATTTCTAGGAATACCTTTTGATGGGGTGGGATTAACTTGATTAGTAAAAATCATTTCTACTGAAATCCATTTAAAATATAGAAGAGGCGATCCTTGAAAACCCCAACTTTTATTCTTGAAAGACAGCTGGATAAACTGGCAAAAGCCAGTTTGTTGAAATTTCAAGATGGTATAAAAATGCTTCCAGGATATAGTCAGCATATTCATGTTCACTTCAGTTCCATTCACAGATGGATTTCAGCTTCCACCGGGTGCACTGCTTGAATCACTCATCCATCATTTGCCAACTTTGATTGTGAGGTACTGATACAATGGATCGAGTTCTTAAAAATTTATTTTAAAAGAATAAATGATGCTGGAATTCTGGACCTGAGGATCTTTAGTATTTGAACAAATCCACAGATTAAACTGAAGGTAAGTTAAGACTTCAGTTTTGGTTATTTCCAACTTTCCCATGAGGACGAATTTTCCATTAAAGCTCAGGCTTGCAGCCACACTGTTTCTCTTGTAGGTAATCTTCAAGTTTTACAGTTTAAAATCCAGCCAACCAGTGGCTGTAACAGCCAAATTAGCCATAATTCATTCTCTGGCTCACACTGTGGAGCCATAGGGATCTGGCTCTCATTCATACCTAAGCCATTTCTTGGTAATGACCTCCACACCTAGAGATCAGGGGAAGAACTTTAGTGAGCAGCAACCAATCCACTCAAAGTTTGCCTTGTGCTTTATGCCTGACTTCTTGTGCCTACCTCAGCAATCCCCAATGTAAAACTGCTTTTTATTTTTTTTTGAGAAAAACCTTTTTTTGCCAAGTTTGAAATTATTTTGGTAATGGATTCTAGTTCAAGCACTGATATCTGAATCCATTTGCATCCGGGAAAACAATGCTGCAAAGACAAGACATGGGCCTTGGTCCAGGTTCCACGCAAGACCATTATTAAAAAAAAAGAAAGGAAAAAAAAGGATCCAATTTGTTTCTGTATTCTCCAAAGGCTTCTCTTACTCTGCCCTGTCCATGATCGTTAAAGTTGTCTTTCTTTTCATGAACCTGTACCCTCAGAACTGGGTAACTGCAAAGGACTCTCTGTTCTCAAAAGATCCATGAAGATCTAAATCCAAAATGATTTCAATGAAGGCGAAGGAATAAGACACTGCAATAGCGAGGGCCAGAGAGATCTTGAGACCAGAATACCCAGGTATAACATGAATTCAATGGGCCTGGGCGAGTAACTTGGCTGTTTCTTGGCCCAGATATGCAAGAATCTATCCCCTCCAGGGTTATCCAGATGGGTTTAGGTATCTCAGTTGGGAAACAACAGAAGCTGAGACTATTTTGTGCAGATGAGGAGACGCTGTTGTCCTCTCTTTGCAGGTTGCTGTCAGTTCCTTGGAACTTTACTGCTTTTCTCTAATTGTCCTTGACTGTTTTCTTATGGTTATTTCTTGTAACTATTATTTTTATTTTGTTTTCTTCCTCTGGGGCCTCCCTTGCTCCCTCTCCACTAGCTCACTAAGGATGAGCAGGAAGGGGAAATCTCTAGCCAAGGGGATGGTGGTGGAGTGGGGGAGGCCTGCAGGAGAAGCTACCGGTTCAGTCCTCATCCACCTCCTCACCCTCAGACTCATCGCCACCGCCACTGCCCCCACCACGGCGCTCATAAAGCTTATCTCTCTGTCGCTCCTGGATTTCTTTCATCTCATCAGCATACCGGCAAAAGGCGCCTCCGAACTTGCCCCAGGCCTTAAAGGGAACGGTGATGGCATTGCGGTAGGACGGCTTCACCTCGCTCACTCTTAGGAACACCCCGTACTTGTTGCAGCCCACGTCGAAAAAGAAGCGTTTGGAGTCCACCGTAATAGAGGTGCCCTCTGGGAGCTCCCCGTACAGGCCCCCCCCAGAGCCTCCTGCGCCGCCTCCTGGGCCGCAGGCCAACTCGTCGTCCTCGCCTCCGTAGTCGTCGATGAGCTTGGCGAGCGCGTCGCGGAACTCGATGAGGCCCTGCGCCGGCAGCGCAATGGTCTGGCCGCTTTGCAGACCGCCGGGCCCCGGACCCGCGCCGAAGCCACCGCCGCCGCGGTTGACGGTCTGGCGGATGCGGCGGACGGGGCCGGGC